AGGGTACAATGAACCAGCTCAGTGCTCGGCCTCGACACCATAGGACGGACAATGAGATTGGCCAACCAACATCTGAAAGCCTGGCCTACACCCATCGCACGCAACATGTGCTACGGCACCCCGCAATAAATGCATACACCGCATTGATATAATCGGCCATGCATGAACACGCAATGGCTTAATTCATCACAATAGCATCATGTTAAACCTACATCGCATATCGAAGAACTCTCCTACCACCAAATATATCCATCCGGTCCCTACTAGCGTCACCATCAGTAATAGAACCGCCACCGTCACTACCTCTGCCGTCACACTCCCATGCTATCTTTACTGCTAAAACAAAGGTGCATTTGCCTGCGAAGCAGCCACTATGAAGTCGACGTATCAGTAGCAGAATCCCCAACATACACCCACCCGCTGGACCCGCTCACCAGGATATTTGGCCATCGCATGAACTTATTCACTCGTATGTGTCTTCATTAAAATCTACTATATGACCGCAGTCCAGGCCTCATCACCACACCCTGCCCAAACGCACATCTCCAGGCCACATATGAACCCCTCCACACCATGCATCACAGCCCCTAACGATTATATCTCTTTTCATTATATGCTCCCCTTTGTCGTCGTCAGTATGACCGACGCAACGTCACAGGTCAAAACACGCACATCTCACATGGTTGGGATGCATTTTCTCTCATAATTTCTGGTAAATGAATCGATCAGGTCGTGTTGAATGCGCTCGCAGATGGGCTGTATAGCTCGGTTAGCTAATGTGACAACTCTTACTGTCATTTTGTAAAGAGGACCAGACTGCCCACTGACGCATATAAGGGAGAAAAAAAGTGGGACTGACACTGCGGTCTCCGGCACTGAGCACATAGTCTTCACTATGGACGATCTAATGCGCTTTTTAACTATCAGAAGCCGTGAATTGAAAGGCTTGTAGTGACCCATCTCCGCGTGCAACGCTCAACCTCTCACCTCTCACGACTTCTAGCATGTGCGCACGAATATAAACAGACTCCAATCCGGTCTAGCCAGTGAGCTCCTTGAGGCCGACTCACACACGACCGCACTGGAGATGCTGTGATGACGTCCGCGCTGTCACACTTCGATCACCCTCCTCGTAGCTGCGGACCGGCGTTCGTTCGGCTGCCAACTCCCGCCAACCTAGTCTCCACTACTTCTGTCCAAAATACACTCTTCCCCCAAAATGGTGCTCTACTTCTCCCTTCGCTTACGGAAACGAGTCGGAAGGTCGTAGCGACTAGGCTCTTCCCTATTAACGTAGATCACTGCGATAGACCGCCAACTGAAAGAATAAGACAGCCGTCTTAGGACTGAGCGTCAGACTGCAACGGTTCCTCCTTCTCGTGGCCTCTATGGTACTGGCACTCAGATGGGACGTACGACGCCCCCTCTTGCTCTGTGCAGACCTCCTCCAT